AAATTGAAACCAAGCCGAATAAAATGACAGCAATCGCGAGGCCAATGCACGCATAAATGAAACCAACAAAATTCAGAGCCCTGCTCGAGCCCAAAGCGAGTGTCAACTGTCAATGCCACGCCCACGCCGCAACCCAAGTTCAATTCTGGCCAAAAGCTGGTCAAGAATGCGCCCAAGCAAACAGCTAACAGCCAACAGCCAAAGAAAACAACAAAACAAAACTCAATCAAACTCAAAGCGCCGAAACCGAAAACGAAACCCGTTTTTATGGCGCGACAGCTACAACTGAACATGGAGGATGCAGGAAAGAGCATGGGAGGACGCAGCTCCAGCTCGAGCTGTAGCTGGGCAGAGCGTCTGTGCTAGAGATGGGCGCGTGCTCGATGTTTGCACGAGTTTCGGAACTACAGTGAAAACTCTCATAACGGAAAGCTACACAGGCTATCCATTTTTATTTATCATAAGCATAAATAGGATATCGCAGGAATTTAACACCAAATTATTTTTTACGTGTGTTTTTCTTTACTTTTGTGTTTAATCTTATTGCAAACACGGATTGGATTTTGTACTCAACACGACACGCGCTCAGCTCTAGTATCGTGGACTGTGTTGGACTTCGGCTCTGGCTGCGCCTGCGCATTGTTTGGCCACAGAACTTACTCTAATTCAAAGTGCCTCCGATGCTCCGCAGCCCCTTTGACCCCCTCCGACCGAGCACCCTGCCGTCTGCGCTTTGCGGTTAACCACAGGCATCTTCGCCAACGAGCAAAATGTATAAGATGATGTGCCTGGCATATTCCGCCGATCCGATTCCGGCTCCCCCTGCTCCCGATTCGGTTCTGTTCAGTTCTGTGTATTGTTCAGATTACATAAATTGATGTTGAAGCCGCTTGGGCCGCAACTTGAGACGTTGCAGCAGACGCAAAATGTTGCAGAACGAAGCGTTAAATGCGCCCTCGGCTCTGTTTGCCACAATAGCAGGCAATGACAGTTGGCCATCAAAAGGCATTTCTGCCCAGAATTATGATAATCAGAGTGTGTAGAGAGTCTACTATATAATTAGATAATAGCCAGTTTATGGCCCAACGATGAAGATGATGTGCCCCTGACAGCCATCAAATGTAATAAATAATAAATATTCAACATTTTCTACTATTTTATCAGACTTTAATTGACCTTCCCAGACCTAAAACCAGGTGGTTTATTTTTAGTTTATTGCTTGACTAACAAATTAATTTTAATTTATTGACACTTTTAATGGAATTTATTCATTTTGATAGCCAAGTTTGCACAAGCGATTTTGCAGGGAAGGTCGCAGCAAAATTGTCTGGGACAGGAAATGGTAAATAAATATGGAGAGAACTCAGAGAAGAACGGCTCTTTGGAGTTTATTTATAGAGAAGATGAAATAAGGCTTAGCTAAAACAAAAACTAATTTGAAAAATGAGACAGCAAACGGGTTGAACGATTAGGTTTTTAATCCCTAAAGCTGTGTTCGTTTGGGCCAGTCCAGGGCCACGCAAAAGGCAGTCCTACGATTTTTGCATAATAATAAAATAATGTTGGGAGTACGAGGCTTCTTTTCGTATGCTTATAAGTTAAAACTTTCAGAGGCTTGCCAGAGCATCCTGATGCAATTTATTTGTATATGATCTGGATTAGTCTTGGATTTAATTTTATCGTCTGAAGTTATTTATACTTGACAGGCATTTGTCTAAAACAGATTTCAGACAAGTTACATTTTGACTTTTGGCTTATTAAAAGTAGCTCGCATTCAAAATATTAACCCGCATGTAAACTAATTTTGCCCACTGTGCGGCGACATCTTTTCCGTTATCATTTGGTTGACTCTTCCCGTTGGGGCCTTGTCGACTTTGTCAAGGCATTCGGTCGTGCCGTGTAATTCGATACCTTTTTGCAGTGGGTGTTTGTGGCCTGACCGTACAGTAAACTAAATGAAACCGAAGTTTAAGCTATGCTGTGGCTGTCAAACTGTGCATGTGACTGCCAAAACCAAATAGAATACGAAAATAAATAAGAAAACCTAAAGCAAAGCAAATGCTGACGCTAATGAGACCATAAATGTAAAGCCTGCCACAAGACACAGGCCGTGGCGCGAGACGGCGACGGCAAATGCAACAGCGACTCTAATTGCTGCAATAGAATGAGATTACGAGCAACTGCAACAGCAGCGGCAACAGCAGCAGCAACTGCAGCGGCAACTGCAACAGATGGCCGCCAATTGTAGCGACCCAATTGCAATTGACTTGGCCAACTGGCTGGCTGTTTACTTTTTGCTGGCACTGTGTTTATGTTTACCTGCTGACCGTGCCGTCTGTCTGTCCGTCCGTTCGACTGTCTGTCTGCCTGTCTCTCTATCTAACTGTCCGTCTTTGCAAACAATTGCAACAGGCCCGGCAACAACTACTGTTTGACAATTTATCAATGAATGCCTTTTGTTGCTGTTGCTGCTGTTGCTGTTGTTATTGTCGCTGTTGCCATTGTGCGTTGCCTTTTCTTATTGGAACAGGAAGTCGCTTATTTGCTGCAAGTGCGCATCGCATTGACATTTACGCTCTTGGCGCTCTTGAGAAAAACAGCTGAGGCAAATCAAAGCCCACTTCCCACCCCGCTGGCTGCATTTGCATCTTGCTTGCAATTTATTGTCAGCTAAAAGAAATAACAAATGCATATATTCTAATTTAAAATAATATCCCTAAACTTTGTGCTCAGCAAAAACAAGCCCCAACAGACTATAATACGTATAACGCATTGAAGAAGACATCTCGGCAAGGGTATTCATAACTTCGGCCAGCCAAAGCTTGCCATTTCTTTTCTTTTTTTTTTTGAGGGGTATTTTGAAAACTGGGATACTCTTATACAGATTCCCTAACAAAAATACGTGCAACGCGTTGAAGTAGACGCAAGGGTATTTAAGTTTCGGCCAGTCAAAGCTTACCATTTCTTTCGTTTTTTTTTTTGGAGGGATACTTTGCATTGATTTATGGCTTTTTCACCGAAGCACCAAATACATCGAATGCAAAATAAAAATATAAAAAATGGAATATTCCATGTGCCCCAATTTCGTTGCAGCCAGCGGAATTTACGAGCTGCAACAACGCAACAAAATGAGCAAAAATTCTAAATTACTTTTTAGCCTCGCTCTCTGGGCCAGTGCCACGGCCAGGGCCAGGGCCGTAAGCCGTGCCTTGCGGATTGCAAAATCGAAATCAAAACTCATAAAAATGCAATTTGCGCCAACAAGTTGACTTTAAGCAGGGCGCCCGCAAACAGCCCCTGCAAGGAAACCCCAAGTCGAAGTACATAATCCAAATCCGATGGCAGCTTTAGGCCGGGGCGAGACGTGTCTGCAATTTGCATGTGGTGCATGTCACGGGGGAGTTGCCCAAAGTTAAAGGAGAAGAAGAAGCAGCAGCGACAACGAGGGGCGCCATAAAGGGTGTGGAAGGGTGCGCCCGGCATTTGGGGGCGTTTTAGTTTGTGTGGTGGAAATTTATGATTGCGCCGAGGGTGGCGAATTCTGCAGACAGGGCTGCATAGCTACGATTTGTTGCTACATAGCAGCAGTTAAGATCCGGAAATAACTCTTACGTATGCCGAGTTACGTGAGGCTAGTTTAACATTTTACATATTTATGGACGTTCGATAGAATTAGCTTGAGACGAAATGTGAGTGTTTGATAGAACCAAAAACCAAACAGAACAAAGTGATAACAACTTTGTATATTGTTAAAAATAAATCTATATCTCAACATCATTCCACACACTCAATTATTCTAGGTTCAATTGGAATCTTGTCTCTCTTCTTCTTCTTTAACACCTTATACAACACTACACGTAGTCTAATTAGACGTTATATATATAACTCAACCTTTTACTTGATATTTATTCCTTCTAGCGTAGAGTGAAATCTCTGCGAGGTTATGAAAAGGGATGGGGAACCATTAAAAGTTTTCTCATTTTTAAAAAGCTTTTACAACACTACACAACATCGGTAAAGTAGCACACTTCCTAGCACTTGCTATGCCACATTTAACGGCCACATTTGTCACATTACGAATTATGGGCTTTGCCTTAGGGAAACAGTCAGGTTTCCACTCCTAACCAGATCCCAAATTTCTAATCCGAACCCAATTCTGGCCACACATGTGTGCACATAGCACGCACTTTGCATAATTAATGCACTGGCAATGTCACCAGTTACACACTTGAGACTGCAGGGCGAATGACAAACATGAGTACCTATACATATATATATATATATATATATATATATATATATATATATATATATATATATACATATATACATATATATACATATATATATATATATATATATATACATATATATATATATATACGTATATATATATATATATAGAGGGGGTGCGGCAGGGGGAGTGAGAGTTTTCCCATTGCGTTGGAAAATGTTACGGAAGTTCTCTGTGTTGCTTGTTAGTGCCGGAGCATTTTTTTGTATAATTAACAGAAGATATTGCCACTTAAAGGCAACGTTAGAAAAGTAAGAACGTTAAAGTCGGGTGCAAGCGACTGCGTAATACTCTGTTTACAGTAAAGAAACTTGTCGAGGTTATAAATACTTAATGCAAGGCAGTTATAAATGTTCTTTATATTCTGTAACTTTAAGACACGCACGTTGCTCGAAAGGAATATACCCCTTTTCACCTGAAAAACAGAGAATAACTAAGCATGCAATGCCGAACGCTAGATGGCGCTGTTGTCACGCGCTCATTAGCGACAGCATTGTGAGGCGCCCGCATCTGCTGCTTCACCCAACAGGAAGTCTTTTGTGTGTGGGTGTGCGAGTGTGTGCGAATGACTGTGGGTGTATGAGAGGCTATGCGTGTGTAAAGTGAACAACTTGAGCACGTGAATGGCACACCTGATGGACGAGCAGCACTCAGTACTCACTGCAGCCCGACTTGGACTCATCTATTTCTCTTTGTCATATTGCAGGAGCTTAAGGAGAGCTTCAACTATGGCCTCTTTGCGCCGCCCTCGAATGGCAAGGCGGGCAAATTTTTGGACGAGGAACGACGCCTGGGCGACTATCCATTCAATGGACCAGTTGGCTATCTAGAGGTAAGTTGCAGCAGTTGCATATTATGCGTTCAACTGACCCGATCTCCTTTTGCCCCACAGCTCAAGTACAAGCGTCGCGTGTATAAGATGCTGACCCTGGACGAGCGCCAGCTGAAGGCGCTGCACACACGCGCCAATTTGCGTCGCTTCCTGGAGTGCATCAATGGCGGGCATGTCGAGAAGATAGCCAAGATGTGTGCCAAGGGCCTAGATCCCAATTTTCATTGCTCAGAAAGCGGCGAGACGCCGCTCTCCGTGGCCACCGGCGCCAAGAAGCCCAACAAGCTGCTCATTGCCCTGGTCAATGGCGGTGCTCTGCTGGACTACCGCACCAAGGATGGCACCACGGCGCTCCATAGAGCCGTCGAACATGACTCGCTCGAGGCAGTTAGGTGAGACCTATTACTATTTGGGATATACTTCTCCTGACCGATTGTCTGACTGGCTACGAAGCTGGATATTCCCACTCCAGAATCGAAGAATGACCGAAAACCTGATTAAAAATTTGATTAATTGTCATATGTATTTTATACAGCACACTGCTGGAGCTGGGCGCCTCGCCCAACTATCGTGACGGACGTGGAATAACGCCCCTGTACATTTCTATAACACGCAAATGCGAGGCGAAGATCACGGAGAGCCTCTTGCACGATCACGCCACTCTGGGCATACAGGACAGCCAGGGCTGGAACGAGGTGCATCAGGTAAGTCGGTGACGGTCCAGATAGCTTTACGACTTCTATTTATTCATATATATATTTTTTGGTTCTTGTGAAAGCCCCCGCTCCCTATCCAAATTGAGAGAAACTTTGGTGCTGGTGCTGGGAAAGATATAAGATTTGTTTGCTAATTGATTTTTACTTCTCTTCTGTCTAACTTTAAACGCTTGCCTAACTATTGTTAAACTGTGCTCAGGCCTGTAGGCATGGCCTGGTGCAGCACTTGGAGCACTTGTTGTTCTACGGTGCTGACATGGATGGACGCAATGCGTCCGGTAACAGCCCGTTGCATGTTTGCGCTGTTAACAACCAAGAGGCTTGTGCTAGAATGCTTCTCTTTCGCGGCGCACAACGCGGTGCCCAGAACTTTGCCAACCAAACTCCCTATCAGGTATTTAAAACAAAAACGAATCCAAATTAAAGTCTGACACACTTTTAGCTACAGTTAAACGTAATATATACTCGTATATACTTATAATATACTAGTTGTCTTCATGGTACTTTTCACGTAGTTTTGCTTGTAGTCAATCCGAATTTAGTGCCTAGCCAAGCTTCTGGTTTCACTCTGGGCTAATATAACTTTATTCCTCAGGTTGCTGTCATCGCTGGCAACTTGGAACTTGCCGAGATAATTGAGAACTACAAATCGGAGGATATTGGTGAGTGTAAACGAGCCTATCGTAATCATACAAACATTCATTCGCACTCACACAAATCACGGAACGTTGATATCATTTCACGTAATCTAAAAAATGAATGACAGACTCGAGTGATTGATGACCCACATTCAGCCCGAAGCGCTAGAGCGCTTTTTTACAATAAATTTGTGGAAAACGGCCCAAGTTATTTTGGCCAATTTTGCTTAATAAACATGATATCAACGTTCCTGAAACGCATCGACCAATCCCAATCGACTCGTACTCGACATTGACATATATTGTACTTTTTACTCATACTCAGCCTCGTTTACCACTCAGTTAATCCCATTTTTTTGTCACACCTTGATTTATTTTAGTTTTCTCGAGTTTCCTCTACTCAATCTATAGTATCTATAGCCTAGATCAATTCCAACCGATTTTTATGCTCTGTTTTAATCACTTTTAGTCCCAAAATCCCTTAAAAAACTGTTAAGTTCTTAAAGACACTTAAACTGTTCATATCAAAATCATATATCAACAAATCATTTCATCATTTAGGACTCCTCGAATCGAAAATCATTTTTCATATATATCAATTAAACATACAACATTTGGCTCATATTATATAACAAACGCTATATGTACAAGATTTTATATGTATTTGCCTTGCATATTTTTGCATTTGCTTGAGATATATTTTCTATATATACTACCTCTCTTTCTATATATATATATGCATAGTACTTATTCGTAACTGTAACTTGTTTCAATTTTTGCTCGTGTACTCGTTTGACTCTCACACCTCATTGCCACGTCTATATATCTCTCTTTCTCTTTCTCTGTCTGTGTCTCTCTTGGCTGTCTTGTTCAATGTTTTGTTAAATTTTTACCGTTATCCATGTATTCATACAGCATACATAACCTATACATCATATTGTTTAGCTAGTTTGTTTTTGCACATTACTAGAATGTGAACTTTTTGCTACATTTTGCTTTATCCTACGGTCAATTGCCTTGAGCTACATTCATGCAGCAGAGCAGTAAGTACAGTAAGTAACAGAAGAACCTTTGGTGTACCGATCCCAAGTGTTAGCATCCATAGGAAATGGTCTAGGAATTTGATCCTTTATTTTTTGTCTTTATATTTTATTTGTTTTTTTTTTTTTTTAATGCGAGTATGCCCGATTCTAGATTCTAGATTGAGTAGAGCTAGCTAGGGTTGAGCAATAACATATTCTGCCTAACATGCGTCAGTTATGTTAGTTAACAGCTGTTAAGAAATGACAGTCTCTTATCGAACATTTGCTCATCTCTAGCACAGCCCGCATAAGCCATTATCATAAACCTGGAATCCGGATGGTTTCGCCACAAACTTGGCCACAAAATGTGACAAAAATACATAACCATAGCTAACAGAAAAATATATGTATCAGAGCCCTTTTCCCCAACACCGCGACACATAAACCCAGCTCTTTAGCTGCGACTGACAAAACTCTTCCCACAACAAGAACAATAACCACAACACACACACAAATATACACGTATAAATCGCAAACTATCCTTACTATCCACATCGCAGTACCCTTCCGGGGACCACCGCGCTACAATCCGAAGCGCCGCTCGGGCATCGGCTGGCTGAGCGCCAACGGGGCCGCTGGCGCTGGGCTGCTTGCTGCGGCTGCCGGTGGGCTGGGTGGTGCAGGGGGCGCTGGTGCCGGGCCAGGTGGCGGCATGTGTGTGAATGGCAACGGAGGCGGCAGCCTGATGGGCACGCTCTCGCGCCAGCAACTGCAGCAGCTGCAGCCGCACCAGACCCAGAACCAGCCCCATAACCATAACCAGCACGTGCAGCATTTGCACCACCAGCACCAGCACCAGCAGCCGCATCTGCAGCTGCACGGCCCGCCCTCGCCCTGTCCATCGGAGCACATGCTGGGCGCCTACAGCTCGGCCAGTTCGAGCCTATCCGAGGGCTCGTCGGGACATCGCTCTCACGAGGACGACATCAGCATTGTGACAGGTAATGGAATTTACTTTGATTTCGCCTTTTACCTAAGTTCTCCTTAAGTTTATTTATAATTTCAATTAATTTAAAATGGAGCATCATCAATTGAGGCTTAGGGTTTACTAAGAGAGAGCCATACACACACATATATTTCGGTATTACTGTACATATTTTCTGCTTTTACTATAATGAACAATGTATAAACCCAAGAAAAGGTCAAGTATTAAATTTGCAACGATTCAAGCATGCGTATTAGCTTTAGTTTAATTTAAGAATATAGTTTATTTTTTATGTAATCCAATTCCACAAGTGCATGTCTTTTACCTGTTTTTAAAAGAAACAGTTTATGATAATTATCGATTTTATCAATATACTTAAGCACGTTTTTAATCGATTACAAATTCACACTGTGACTCAGTTATCGATAAATTGTTCAACGATTCATTAGGCCGAGTGAATCATGCGAATCAGTCATATTTACACTTAATATATCTAACTGACTGACTGACTGAGGCTTAACGCGCAGACTCTGTAACAGATGTTTACTTAAAAAAACTAGGACTGGGTAGGAAAATGGGAAAGTAGCCGACAGTTGAGACATAACAAACAAATAAATAGAGGTTACCAATGGTGAAAAATTCACCCCGAGGATCGGAAACTGGGTGGGAAGTAGACTTTAATTAAATGAAAAGCACGTTGCACGGGCAACGCCGAGTAATACCAAATAGCAGGCACATAGAACAACTCATTCACTTGTAGATTAATTAAAGACACATTCGCTGCAAAATAATGAGTCGCCCGCAATTTCGCCCGTGTCTAAGCGATTCGCCACGCAATTATTCCAGCCACATTCACAAATGTCTCGAAACGCATTGCTTCTTGTGCTCACCTCTCCTTCCTTCCGCCTGTAATATACTTTCCACTCTCTACATTCGCATGTAATCGTCATACTCAATGTTGTCTCTGTCCAGCTCCCAGCTCCGGCTGTGGCTCCGGCTGCAGCACGGAGCTGGTCAAATCATTTGTCCGTGGACCTATCGACTTACTTGATTTTCCGCTTTTGCCATCCGCACAGATAAATCGCTGGGCGACACCAGCGACATCATCAGCGACTCGTCGGGCGTGGGCACCAATTCGGATTCGGCGGCCTGCTCGATCGGGCATCCCAGCACCACGGTGGTGTGCATGGAGCCCTATGCGGGCAATACAGTGGGTCACATACGGCTGCAGCCGGGCGATGTGATCGAGGTGGTGGGCAGCACCGACTGCGGCCTGCTCGAAGGCTATGTGCGCGGCACCAATCAGTCGGGCTTCTTTCCCGCCGACTGCGTGCAGGAGGTGAATCTGCGCCAGAAGCACATCACCAATGTGATGACCGCCAGCACGGGCATGGCTGCTCCACAACAGCAGCAGCCGCTGCAGCCACAGCCCGCATCCTACCAGGGCTCGCCCCAACTGAGCCTGGGCGGGCACTCGGGCAGCTCTAGCACGTTGCTCCATCAGCCCCATCAGTCGCCCTCGCTCTCGATGACCAGCAACGGCTCCTGCCAGCAGCAGCAGCAGCAACATCTGCCGGAGGGCAATGGTGGCCACATAGGCAACAATTCCATTGGACAATATAGCAGCGCCACAGCGCCTCGCATCAAGAAGGGGTAAGTTTGCTTTCTAATCCTTGTCAGGTCTCTTATTAATCCACATGCTGGAATCTTTCAGGGCCTACAATGCGCCCCGCTCGGTGGTGCTGCATCGGGCCAAGCGGGGCTTTGGCTTCATTTTGCGCGGCGCCAAGGCCAGCTCCCAGCTGATGCAGCTGCGTCCCTCCGAGCGCTTCCCGGCACTGCAGTACTTGGATGACGTGGATCCCGGCGGCGTCGCCGACATGGCCGGACTGCGTCCGGGCGACTTTTTGCTCACCATCAACGGCGAAGATGTCAGCGCCGCCTCGCACGAGCAGGTTGTCGAGATGATACGCTCGGCGGGTGCCCTGGTCAACATGACCGTGGTCTCGCCACAGTTTCCGCTCCAGATGCAGGCTAGCGCTCAGTACTTGCCGAGTGGCGCACGCGCCGGCAGCCAGCATCTGAACAGTGGACCCAGCACGCCGCAGAGCGCGCACCGCCAATGCGCCACGCTGCCGCGCAAGATGTCCATGGGCCCGGGCAGCCATGCCAGCGGCAGCTCCGCCTCGGGCGGCGGTGGCAGCGTGCGCATGGCGCCCATGCCGCCACGACGTGATCCCAAGACGACGCTTAGTGTGGGGCGGGCCAGGGCCAAGTCTATGGTCGCCGGCCTGGAGAATGGCGGCGAGAAGGAGCAGGACGAGGTGCCGCATACCAAATCCAATTCGGTCGAGTCCATTGCCACGCCCACGCCCACACATCCGGGCACACCGGTGCAGCTGCGCACGGCCAGCATCAAGGCGCGGCCCACATCCAGCCGCATCACCGCCGCCGAGCTGGAGGAGCTCTTTCAGCGGCAGCAGGGCGAGGGCAGCGCCTCGAGCGCTAGCCGTTATGCGACCATGATGACCAGCTCGCGTTTCCAGTCGGGCACGGACAGTGGTGCCGCCACGCCCCCAGCTGCCAATGGCTCGCCCATGCGCACCGGGCCGCTGGTCTATGGCAGCGTCGCCGAGATGAAGCGCAAGACAGCCAGGAGCAAGCACGGCAGCGGCACGCTGCGTGGCAAGCCGGTGGCCACGCCCACGGTAGGTGGGGCGATTGTTGGCAGCGGTCGCGATCAGAAGCGTTTCCACTCGACACCCGATCTGCACGGACCGCAGCTGCACGGCTCCGCCTCGTCCATCTGGCAGGCGGCGGGCAAGGGTCACCACTCGCAGGACGACGTGGCCACATTGCACGCCTCGCTGCAGCGTCTCAACACGGCGGGCAACAAGGAGGAGAGCAAAGCTGCTGCTGCCGCTGGTGGAGCAGTGCTGCCGCCGCCCAATCACCCACCGCCGCCGCCGCCCGTCGGCCAGGTGGTCAAGGTGGAGACACGCAGCAGCGTATCGGAGTACGAGAGCACAATATCCTTGCAGCAGAAGCTGAAGAAGCGCGCCGAGAATGACGCAGTCACCTCGGCGGCCATCGATGGCGTCCAGAGCAGCTTCAATCCATCGGCCAATGCCAAGATCTATGCCTCGCCCCAGGAGCTGCGCAACGTGATGGCCTGGAAGCTGCGGCAGGCGCAGGAAAAGCCGCAGCAGGAAGCCGCCTCACAGCAACAACAGCAGCAGCCGCAGCAGCAACATGTCAGTCAATATGCGGCGCCCACTCAGCTGCGTGCTCAAGCGCCTGCTCCGGCCGGCTCCCACTATGCGGCGCCACAGCTACAGCAGCAGCAACCAACAACAGCCGCAGCAACAGCAGCAGCACCTCAATCGCCGCCAGCTCCGACACCGCCGGCGCCACAACCACCGCCAGCAGCAGCAGCAGCTGCACAAGAGCAGCAGCAGGCGAATGGCAATGCAACGGCAACTGTTGCAGCTGCCACAACTGGCGCGGCACCGCCCATTCCCGAGCCAGATTACAGCTGCAGCGAGTCAGATGGCGAGGATGAGAACTCGATTCTGGTGGCGCGCAACACGAAGCTCAATGAGAAAATTGCGCTCTTCGATGTGCCGGAAACAAGCGGCAACAGTCAGGCCAGGTAAGTGCCACAAATAGCTGTTAACCGGACTCATGCCTCCACTTACTCCTGCCCCTCTCTCTGTCCCTCTTTAGCGGCAGCAGCTCTGCCTCTGGCTCAGGTGCCTCCATTTCGCACTCGCTGTCCGTGGAGGAAATTCAGCGCATACGCAGCAATCTTAAGACCTCCAAGTCTTCGCCCAACGGCTTCCTTAAGAAGGAAGACGAACAACCGCAGCAACAGCAGCAGCAGCACCCGCAGCAGTTACTGCCACAGCCTGCTGCTGGCGAGGACGAGTGCGACAACAGCAGTTCCGGCGTGAGCAGCGATCAGGAGCTGCTGGCCACGTGCGCCGGCAAGCCCACGGATACCATCAAGAAGAAGCCAAGCGTGACCATTGTCGAGGAGCCTAAGACCATACCCGATCCGCCGGCTAAGCCCCTGGCCAAGACAACCATCAGTGTTGGTGCAGCAACGGCAACAGCAACTGGCAACACAAAAGCCAGCAGCAACATTAACGCGGGCACAAATGTGGCCCATGCTGCTGCTGCCTACGAGGCGGCCACCAAGTCCACGTCCACTGGCAATCTCAACAACAATGGCAGCGGCAATCACAACAACAACAGCAGCAACAACACAGCAGCAACAACAACGCTGACAGTTAAGCAACTGGTGCAGCAGCAACATGCACCAGTTATACAGCAGCAGCAGCAACAGCTGAGCAGCAAGGCAGCAACAACAGTTGCTAACAAGCTGCCAGCAACAGCAGCAACAGCTCAAGTCAAATCGAATCAGCCGGTGCTCAGCCCTCAGGTGCTGGGCCGCATACCCAATGTGCATCACCAGCAACAGCTGCAGCAACAGCAGCAGCTGCATCATCAGTCGAATCCCAATCTGAAGCTGATTGCCACACAGCAGCAGATACTGCAGCAGCAACAGCAGCAACTGGCGCATCAGCAACACTTGCAGCAGATACTCAAAGCCAAAGCAGCGGCCGCTGGTGGTGCCAGCACTGCCGCCCTGGTGGCCAAGCAGCAGCAGCAGCTGCACAAGGGCCACGACTCGGAGCTGGAGCAGCGCTCCGATCTGGATGATGACGACGGCGAGCTAAGTCCGTCGCCGCCGGCCAAGGCCTTTCAGCGTCACAATTCGCTCACGCGTAAACAGGCAGCGGCCATTGCCATGCAGCGTGGCGCCACGCGCACCACCGCCGTCTCGCTGGTGCAGTTGCCGCCGCCCCTCGAGGCGGAAAGCGACGGTGAGCCAACACAGCAGCAACATCTACAGCACCACCAGCAGCAGCAGCAGCAGATGGCCACGCATATTGTGGGCATGCTGCCCAGCGGTCAACTGGTGGCTGTGCCTTCTGCTGCCGTTGCTGCTGCTGCTGCTGTGCCGCAGCCGGGCAACAACAATCTACAGCTGTGCACCGAGAATCTGGTACTGGCGCCGCCGCCGCAATTCTGTGATTGCAACGATGCCAAACACGCGCCGCAGTACCATCCACAGCAACAGCAGCAGCAACATCTACAGCAGCAACAGCAGCAGCTACTGCAGCAGCAGCAGCGTCACCAGCAGCAACTGCAATTGCTGCAACAGCAACATCAGCAGCAGCAGCAGCAGCAACAGCAGCAGCAGCAGCAACAACAGCAGCATCAGCGGCTGTCTGGTGGCGCTGGCGCTGGCGCAGTGGGCACCTTGGGCCGTGTGCGCATTGTCGGCGCCATGCCCAAGGCCAATCATCACAGACTGCACTAAACCAATCGATATATAGTATATAATCGATAATTCAACAATTTGCCAAAAACGTTAAAACGTTAATTAGAATTACATCAAACAGTCATTGCCATTCACAACGAATAGCTGCACTCGAAATTAATACACACACACACACACACACATATGCGCACCTTGGCAGCATGTTGCCAGCAACATGTTTTCGAATCAATTTTAACTGCAACATGTATGCAAATGCTATCGATGTATATTAGTAAAATTAACATTTAATTGAAAAGCATAAAAATATAACATTCAAGTTCAAAGCATGTAAAAACATATACTAAAAAAATCACGTTAAAAAAAGGTAATTAGTTAATAACGCAATATGGCACGAGCACGATTTTTAATTTGTTTAATTTCGAAAAAAAAAAACAAAAGAAAGAAATGTTCTTTTATATTATTATATTTATTGCGTGTGATATAAATTTATGTACGCGGCGTAAACGCAGCAAAGTAGAAAAAAGAAAAAAGAAGAAGCAAAAATAATATTGAAATATTTTTAATCGAGCATTCGAAACATGTTTGCAATATTTAAGTAAAGTTCAATTTATATAAATCTTAAACATTAAGTTCTTAAAAATTGAAAACAAACTGAACCTATTACGAAAGACTCAGTTTGTTTTCGAGCTGCACAAGTGGAAATTGTCGCGATTGTTGTGGAAATGCTCAATCACAAATGTTTGCATTATGGTTATCCACAACAAATGCCCGTGACAAGCGTTAATCATTAGCCTAAGCATCGAGTGTCTAACTAGAAGCTAGAACTTTGTTTCAAGTGCATTTCAACTGCATTTCAATATCCATCCATCCATTCATCAATATTCACGCGTTCGAATGCACAAACCATTCAACACTCACATCTAATCTACAGTTTAGTGGTACTCTTTAGAGGAACAAAAGTAATAATAATAATAACAATAATAATGCTACTAAAAGAGTTTGAATTTGCGCATTTAGTCGAGTCGAGTCAAATGAAATACAGTAAACTATACTTAACTAAATCACTACAAGTAATTACCTAATTAACAATTAAACGCATTTTTAAAAAGCATATTTAATATAACTTATAACGAGCGGCAAAACTTTTGTAAGCGTACATTTTTGGTAGTAAAATTTACAGATTTTTACTTTTAACGCTCTTTTTGTATAATTGTTTTTTAGAGAGAATCTTTAACTTGCGCAAGTATTACAAAGTAAAATTGAAAGACACATAAAGATAACATAATTCAAATATAACGATATAACGATAATACTATTGAAATTGAAAGAGGTTCTCAAGTATTTGCAGGCACTTGCCGCAAATGATTGTTAAGGACTCATGAAAATACAGAAATGCGTATTCACAAGTAACAATTATTATGACTAAGGCTGATTTTATTGCATAATAGTACGTGCAACATGCAACGTGCAACATTTAACATTGATTACTAGTAATTAATCACATTTAAAAACTCAACTAATGCAACAAACAGGCAACAGGCAAAGGCATTTACACTGTTTAAACAAAACCCGTTAAATGAAAGTGTCGCAAATAATTTATAACTAATAATAATAATAAGCTAAATATTTAAACATTTAGTATTGGCAGGCCGCACCTTTGCACTAGCATCTAAGTGTTGAAAAGTTATTAATCATAGCCCCACACATACATACATACATACATGCATTCACACACACACGAATACACACGCGAATATACATGAACATTGGCAAAGCTAAACTCTAATTAGACTTAGCACACTATTTAGTTCCCGCAATAGTTTCTAATTATTTGTAAATCATTTTTAGTTCAGCACCTGCCCCCCAGCCAACCTCCTTTTAGCCCTCTAATTTTAGCCAAGCTTGTTTTATGTTTAAGTTAACTGCGTGGATATATCCATGTCGAGTTGTCATGCACGTCCTACCTATCAGAACTATACCATATACTATAAAACACACACACATACATATAGATCGGGTACATGCAAAGTAAGCGAGTATGATAAATATGCTATACACATTTATAATGTTAAACAATTGAAGCACACATACATACACACACACATTGAATGTATTTACAATTGTGGAATATAATTATATTAAGTCATAAAATATGCAATTATGTATTATGAACATGCGTATAAAGAAATCAATAAATATGAATGAAAATTATATCAACGGGATGCTTATATGATTTTTGCATGGAATTGATCCTTACGAACCTAATCTATGCTAGAATGTCCTTTTCACAAAAATATCTATAACTTACCGAAATCCTTGCGGATTTGCAATGGACTTGGTGCGTTAGGATTGCAATCAGTAAATCTATCGAACTGCATAAAAACATAAAGGGGTCATCTACGGATCAATGATCCTTTTTCTTCGGCTATATCTTTTCAGATCCTGATGAGTCAGGTGCTAAGCGATGTGTATGAAGCAGGATATTCAACTGTCCAAAGGACATCTATTGCGTCCTCGTAGTTTCCGAGACATTTCCACGATTAAAATTTGACAAGTCCTGGATCCTTAGATAACCCCCTACTGTCTTGATGCAGTTTTCTGCAGTTCGTCCTTGCAATCCTAAAACACCAAGTCCATTGGAAATCCGCAAGGATATGGCCGAGTTATGGCTATTTGTATGAAAAGATAACCATATTTTTAGCTATAGCTCGGCCACATCCTTAATGATATCAAAAGGATATACCTTTTTAAAATCGTGAAGATCAGTATTGTCGATTGGCATTCAAGGATTTCCAAGATTCGACAAAAAAATGTTCTTTCAGTATCGGCAAGGGGGTTAGTCAGAAAATCGAAAATTTCAGGACTAACTTTGCCATTTGAAGACCTATCGGGCTGTGCTTTGGTCAGAAAATAGTCCTCGTCCTTCCATTTAAGAATATTCCACCCGAAGGACGATAGTCCTTCAAACAGCTGAGAAAAAATTGATTTGTTGTAATCAAAAATTAGGCCATAACTCGGCTATATCCTTGCGTGTCCTGATCCGTGTCAAAAACATTGTATTGAGCAGGTCTACCAACTGGCCAAAGGACATCCAAATCGTCCTTGTAGTTTCGGAGATAATAAGGATTTTGTGTCAATTGCCCATTTCCTTGCATTCGTCGCTGAAAAAATAACCAAGTCCAGGACTCTTAGATGTTGCCCTGCCGATAAAATCAATTGCATACCAGAAAGGGGCATCCGGAAGCTTTACATTACCTGCAGCTGCCAACAGCTGGCCGTTAAACCTAACAATTTTTGCCCCTTACAAAAAGAATTTTGCCAAATTATGGCTATGAATAGAATGTCCTTATTTGAAAAATAGGCATAATTCGTCAACTACAAGTACTATAAAAATTTGCTTTGGCCTACTTTTAGTCCTAATTCATACCAAATGTTTGACATAGGATTCATCAGGATACGCAAGGATATGACGGATCTATGAGACTTTATCTGCATACGCAATTGTACATTTTTCTTCTCACTTTAAAAGGTCTTTCGTCCTTTTTGTTGTATATTGCAGATTTTCCTTGTAGATTTTCGAAATGCGTTAGGATCGTTAGAACTAATTGCGCCAAATGGCATCAAAACAATAGGGGATCTTCTAAGAATGCATTACATGCCAACATTTTTGTCGTGGGGCGCAAGGAAACACAAAATCTTTCATATCTCGAAAATAAAAGCACGAATTTGGTGTCCTTTGGACAGTTTACAGTCATTTATGATCGTTTCGAAATATGAAAAATGATTTGTCTTTGATTCTTAAATGACCCCCTAATGTTTTAATACAGTTTCTCCCTGCATTACTAACACACCAAGTCCTTTGAAAACCCACAAGGATATGGCCAAGTTAAGGGTATTTATCAAAATGCAAAATATGCTCTAAGCAATAATTGTCATCCCCAAGAGTATGCAGCGTAATTAAACGTGAATTGCTTCTTTGTGTACCTTAAGAGTATGCCGTGCTCTTATAACAATAGAAAAGAATTAGTTACTTGGGTCGGCCCAAGAGTATGCAATTGCCGTGGCATTTTTCGTGAAATAAGAAGAAATTGTTGATTTATTTACAAAAGTAATATTTTACTATTTTATTTTGTTGCTTTTTGTTTTTGTTTTATCTGGTTTCTTTAATATTAAAAGAAAATCTACAAATGTTTGTATTTTTTTTTTTGTATGTTTGTTTTTTGGGGCCAACAATTCGTACGTGTTCGAGTTATTGACACATAAGTTCTGTTGCACATCCTGGAGGACAACAAAACGACAAACCGAAGACTTGTGCACCAAACATCTTTTGGCTAAATTATAAAAAAAGAAAAACAAAACAAAATGCTGCAAAAGGCCCTCAAATCGAATTCAAATCCAATTCGATTGTTGTATTTTTTTGTTTTTGTTTTTTGTTTTTTTTTTTTATAAATTATGAGCTAAAATTAATTTGCATTTGCATTTGCTTTTGTTTTTGTTTTTGTTTTTTGCTTTTGAAGTTTGCTTTTTGTAAATTGTTAAAGTTTTGGTTTGCCGCTGGCAGCTGTTTGCTTTTAATTGATATCGAGTTGTGTCTGGCTGTGTGTGTATATGTGTATATGTGTATATGTGTGTGTGTCTGTGTGTGTGTTTTACTTGCAACACTTGCAACTCGCTGCGCCTCGATTCGGTTGCAAGCTGCGCTGCTAATTTGTGTACTCATTTTTAATATATATATATATATATATCTGTACTCGTATATATATGTAATAATAATATGCCATATTGTATATAGTAATAATAATAATAATGTATATATATATATACTATATAATATATAATTTTCGTGGTTTTTAATTTTTTTCTTTTTTTTTGTAAACAAATTGGTTTCGTATAATTAATTACAAACTACAATTCGCGTATTTTTTTATAATAATAATTATTTAATAATAATTTTTGTTAGTTTTTGTTTTTGTTTTTGTTTTTGTTTGTTTGCGGCTTAAATACTTTGGGCTACGCGTTTGTTTTCTAGGCGTGTCTGTTTGTGTCTCTCTGTGTGTGTGTGTGTGTGCTCGATCAGCATTCAATCTAGGCATTATCTATGTACTCGCTTTATATATAGATATATATCTGGAAGTGTCTGTCGCAATTTCTATGGCCTCTGAGCTGAACTGAACCGATCTGAACTATTTAACTTATGGACTTATGGAATTGCGCTAATTTAATGTCGGTACAATAATTTCATAGCTGGAATCTCGGCGTATATCATTTCTTCATTTTTTTTTCTTATCATTTTGTCAAGTGGGCTGCTGTGGGCGTGGCATGGCATGACGTCACTTGGTAACGCGGCCACAAAACGCATTTAGCTAAAAATCTGTCTGCTGCTTAGAACTCTAATTCAATAAACGAATATATATTTGTATATATATATATATCGAGAAGTATATAATGTGTGTGAGTGTGTGTGTTTGTGTTTGTCTGGCTGTTGCATATATATATATATATATATATATATATATATATATATATATATATATATATATATATAA